GCCAACGGAAGCATGCTAACAATTCAATGTCTGCTGTGCCTGAGCCTGATACTCTCCGCATATTTCAAGCCATGGCGCTCAATTCCGGCATCGTGCACGGACATTTGCGTCAACGCCGTATTCCTGATCATCGTTTTCCAAGGAAGTTTCTTCGTGACCGGCGCGGAAGCTGGGCTTCTCTAAACCCTATAAACCTATATAAAGCCTAAACCCCTAACTCAAGCCTGAACCCTACACGCCTAAGTAAAGCCTAAAGGAGAGCTTTGTAGGACCCAATGAACCATGTAACAAAGTTGTTTTTGTTGCAGGGAGGACTTTATGCCCAGTTTTCCATACGCTCCCAGCAGCTGCTGTCTGCGCACGGTCAAAGACTGGGTTCAAGATTTTTTGGTTAGGCTTCGGGGTTGGGCCCATCAAGGACCAGTACTATTCCATGATAATCTGCGCACTATGTCTCGCCGCTATGCTCGTCGCCCTTGCGAGCTTGTCCATCTTCGCCATAGGCGTGGTGGGCAGGGAGCGGGCTGAAGGGGTCATCAGAGGTTTTCAAGGATTTAGGGTTTAGGGTTTAGGGGATTCACTTGCAGATTGGAAATTTCAAGACGTGAGCCTCGAGACTCTTCCAGAATTCGATGGTACTTCCCTTCATCCCCTGCAATAACCTTGTGTAAGGTTCAGGCCACTGAAGTCATTTCCGTACTGATCCGCGCATGGTTCACAGTCCACGCGGTTTCGTACCCTTATGATATGACTGCCATTTCAGCACCAGGAAGAACGATAGCAGCATTAAGCTTTGCTCTGAAGCACACGGGCGAGAATCATCTGCGAAGTGCCTTTCGGGTTCGTCGCCAGTAACCTTGCATAGCAGGCTACTGTCTGTCCATATGTCCGTGATATGTCTAATCAGGATGCTTGTAAAACATATTTAGGATCTACGTTAAGGCTTCCGTATTGTTGTGGGGCTGCCATGCAATATAGTAGCCCACTCTAGGGGAGAACGGTCCGTGGGGACAAGATGTAGATCTCTCATACTCCGCCCAGGCCAGTCACTTTCGTCAATCCCTTGAACCCTTAAACCCCAAAGGGTCCAAAGTACCTATGTAGTAGAATGTAGGGTTTCTAGACTGGGAAACCTTATTGTGATTTGGGCAGTACCTACGACCCTTTGGGACAAGGTAGTATTATTAGGGGCACTTAAAGGGTACCCCTTCTGAACCCTACTTTTGGCTCTCTTAAAAGGGACCTTATTGAGAGGGTCCAAATTTTCAAGGGTCCCCCTAATCCTGGCTCCCATTGGGAACCCTGAACAACCCTAAACCCTGAACCCTGAACGCCTTAGGCGGTGGACCAGATTTCGGTGTGTTTCCGGGGTTTTCTGTTCGAGCTATGATCTTCCAAAGGGGTACTTGGAGGATCAGGGACTCGGTAAAGCTAAATGTACCCGAATTGGGGTCATATGTACTTAAAACTTCTGTTTTGTATAGAAAAAGCACCATATTACTAAGTCTCATGATCCTAAACCCTAAACCCTAAACCCTAAACCCTAAAAGTAGAGAAGATTCGGGGGTGCATACCACAGTGTGGCAGTGAGGTGGAAAGAACCGGTTCAAATGCCCCCTGAAGCCCGGCAACCATGAAGCCGCAAGGGTTTAGGGTTTAGGGTTTAGGGTTTAGGGTTTACTGGTTTAGGGTTTAGGGTTTACTGGTTTAGGGGTTTAGGGTTTATCCGTAATCTAGATCTCTGACGAAACACCCCCTGGGCCCCGTTCTTGAAGGGCCTTCGTAGTTAGGATGCCTTTCATGTCTTGAAACCAGGGCTCTACATGAGGCATTGAAACCAAGCAACTGCACCCTCCACACACAATCCCTTATTATGCCTCGGAAGCAAAACCCCATTGACACATAGTCTCCGTTCTAGTTCCTTTTTCGCCTCTTAGGATCCAAAATCTATACTTGCTTAAGGAAGGTAATCCCTATATACCTGTAAGATTCTGCAGCATAGCCTCAGGCAGACATCTCTTGATGATGCGCGGCAAGAAGTTCCATTTCTTCCTATCGCATCACAAGCAGGCCCCTAAACCCTAAACCCTAAACCCCTAAACCCCTAAACCCCTAAACCCTAAGCCCTTTGGGATGATGTAAACAAGCCCGCCTACCACACTGGTGCTGCCATTCCTGGGAGTCCCTGTTAGGGTTCTGGGGTTTAGGGTTCAGGGGGTTTTGTGTTTGTCTGCACCTTGTTCTGATGAGTCAGGGCTTATAGGACCTTGGCATTAAGGGCTTTGTGCTCAGGGGGCTTGGGGGTAAGAACGTTTTGTGTTGTGGCTGCAGAACTTTCGCTTCCAACGCTAAAGTTGGTGTTTAGCATTTCGAAATTCGAAGGGGTCGCGTGAATTGATTTGGGTTTTAAGGGGAGCTATTGCAAGGCTACGGCTCTGGGGGCTTAGGACAATAGTGCTGTCAAAGCCAGCTTGTGTCAGCTACGTTTGCGAAGCATGTT